CTTTTAACTAACAATGATAAGAGAAAGAGGTTGCTCTAATGAGTCCTCAGAGCTCTCTGGATGCACCCCTAATCACGACTTCCTCTGGCCATTAGATCTGTTCCTTTCAAGGATGTGGTGGGACTCGACTCTCCTCCCAGCAGGCAAGAGCTGGTCAAGACCCTCCAGGCATTTACCCCAAGGGACAACTATTAATGAAAGGTCAATCTCCTCCCATCTGAGCACCTGTCCACACAGCACATTCACAGGCTGTGTCTTATTGTATCAAAGTTTGCCTGAGCCCTCTTGGAGCTCCCTCCACATGTTATCTCTTTGGACATTGGGCACTGGCGACAATGAGTTCTGCGTGCAATGACCAGAGCAGAGTGCACGAGCTACAGCACAGGTGGGTCAGCCCAAGCTGGAAGTGACTGATCTGAACCACATTCAGGCCATGATTTCAGTCACAGAACCACAAAGACCAATGAGAGGAAATCACTGGGGGAGCAGAGGAGCGTATCAGGAGGTGTACCAGTCATGGCCAGGAGCCAGGGGTCAGCTATTGGAGAAAGAGTTGAGACAGAAAAAGTCTAGAGTGGGACTCTGGAAGAGGGATTTTTTACTATGGTCCCTTCTGAGGATCAGTTCTTTCTTTTCTGAGTTTAAAGATCATGAATACTTCACACTCAGCTTTGAACTTCATGGGACTCGACTCATCAGGAAACCTAAGCCCATGTGGTTCCCTGAGGGTGGAGGTGATTGGCAATCATCTATGCAGAAACACCCTGCCCCCCTCATGTCTCCAACATTAATGCCCAAAGGGCACCTTCTTGGAGGGACTCTCTCCAGAATTAACAGCTTCTTGTGTTCCATGGGGTCTTGTCTTAGCTGGGACTGTTGACATACATCATAGAGCGGTGTCGCTTAAACAATACATATTTTTTTCTTACAGTTCTGGAGACTGGAAGTCAGAGAACTAGGTGCCGGGATGGTGGGGTTCTGGTGAGTGGCCTCTTCCTGGCTTACAGCATGCTGACATCACATTGCTTCCTCACACAGTGAGAAAGAGCATCCCTTGCATGTCTCTTCTAATAAGGTCACTAAACCCATTCACAAGGGCTCTCTCCTCATTACATAATTAACTCCCAAAGGCTGCACTTCTGTATAACATCACCTTGGGAATCAGATTTCAACATATAGATTGGGTGTAGGAGAGAAGCCCAAGCAGGCAGGCCACACTGGTCTCTTCTTGGTGTGAAGCTCTTCTCTCCTTCAGATGCTCTCACCCAAGTCCCCAGGATGCTCTCCGGATCTGAGACCCAGCTCTGGGCACCCAGCTCAGGCCCACGGGCAGCATCTTGGCCAGACTGTCCACTGAGGACTTTGAAGATAGCTTCAAGCTCTGACAATCAGGGTGATGTCAACCATGTGGCCTTACTGCTGGGCCTTAGTGTAATCCCTTCACCCTGCTCACACTCTCTAAGTTGGGTTCTCTTCACTCTTCTGAAGTCCAGTCACGTCTAGTCCCCCCAACCTCCTCAACCCCCATAACCATCTCCCACAAATCTCTCACATCTACCTTCAAGGAAGCACCAATGCCCTTAGATGGGACCCCCGCCCCCCCATCTTTGCACCATGCTGTCTTTTTGAAAGAAAATGGCCTTATGTGGAGTATCTGTCAAGGGTTAGGGTCTAGAGTCAAGTCATCAGGGTCAAGAGCAAGTTCTGCTTCTTACTGTCTGTGACCTTAGGGTGTTCACTTCATGCACAAAATGGGATAGCAGGGGTAGCTCTCACTTCCTAGAGCTGTTGCGGAGTAAATGAGGAGGGGTAAATGTAAAACAAGGTTTGCACGGAAAAATCCTAGCATGAACAACATGTAAATAGCTATAAGGCAGTGTTGGGAAAGTGAACTCTGAAATCCTGGCTGTGTGGCTTCTTGGTTCTGGGACCTTGAGGAAGACATTTAGCCTCCTTGACCTTTGGATTTTTCATTTGGAAAATGAGGACATGACAGCGCCTGGCTAAGGTGTGAAAGGAGATAATTGTGTGAAGTTCTCAGCATGGTGTCGGGGCAAAGAGCCCCGTCAATAAGACTTATTGACCCCTCTGCCCTCCCACTCCAGGGCCAGCCTTTAACGTCTCGAGCCCTCCTGGGGATGCCGCCTGCACACGCACTCACGTGTCTTCAACATCCCCTTCTCCACTGGATCCTGCCCTCATTTGGCCAGACAGATGCACATCTCCGCCCCCCCCAAAAAAAACCCTCTTTCAACCTTTCATTTTTTAAGCTGCCACCCTGTCTTCCTTTTCTTTCCACCAGGGAACTTCTAGGGGTGGTTTCCCCGAGACTGCTGGCTTCCTTTACTGACAATGAGGTGATTGCAAGCATTTGCTGGTCCCTACCAGCTGTCTGGTATCTCTTAGGGATATCTTGGCATAATGAAGTCCTCAAGTGTCTATGAGCACTCTGTCGAGATGTTTGCCTTCTGTCTGCTGAGTTTATTAGGATGGGATCGCATCCCATATCTTCTTTATTAGTGGAGGGAACAATTTACCACAGGTAGTTAAGACTGCTTTGCAGGGTGACTGGAATTAGCCCCCAGGTAGAGTTAAGTCTCCAAGCCTCTCTTTCAAGTCTTCTGGAAATGAACCTACCCATTAACGAATCCAGGAATGGGGGTGCTACATATGGGTCGACTCGGGAAGACAGAAGACGACCAGGGCAAAACAAACTCTGTGAAGGGATCTGACTTACATCCTGAACAAAATGGAAAAGCAATCAGCAGTCATAGTTTTTCTACCAAATTGTGAGGGAAACAAGAAAAAGCCAATAACCTCTAATACCTGAAGCTTCAATAAAGATAGCCAGAAACAGATAAAAGAAAGCCCTTATCGGCACCAGAGCAGGGAGGATGAGAGTCAGAGGATGGCTCTGTTTTCTTAGAAGAAAGCGGGAGAGAAAGGAATCCCATCCTTTCTAGCAGAGATCCCCACGCCAGATGCCCACCCAGGAGGACCTGTCCCACTTGTGGCACCAGCAACCAGGTGGAATTATCCCACAGGCCCCTGCCTGTCAAATGCAGCTGCTTGAGGTACCATGACATATTGGGGACTGTGGATCTTGGGGCCCTGGAGGGCTGTGTCCACAGCTGGGAGGCACTTCCCGGCCAGCCTGGTCTCCTTTGTCAGATCTGGGGGACTCTCTACCTTCAGGACTGCCTAGTGGACAGGGTGTACCTGAAGTGCAATCCCCCACATAGGCCCCTTATGGGGGCCTTCACGCCACCCGCACATAGCCACAAAAACCCCCACGAATGGTGTGGGTCTGGGCCTGCTTCCCTTCAGACTGAGGGCACCAAGGGGTGTTTCATTCATCTTTGACAGTCTCATAGGGTTTGACCCTTGGTAGATTCTCAATAACTACATCTTAAATAAATGAATGAATGAGTTGGTCTCAGGCTGTTATCAGTGGACACAATATACTACAGACATTTACAGATCACTCGTGCCCGGGCCTTCTACGTAGCATTTTGCATCTATCCATCTTCTTGTTTTCACAAATGCCCAGTGAACAGCCTTTTTATTTTTCATTATCTCCATTTTAGAGATGGGGAAACCAGTTCGCAGAGAGCTCCATCACCTACCACCAGATACACAGTTAGAAAGTGGCAGAGCCAGCGCTTGAACCCTTGCCATCTGACACCAGACGTCGGGTCGGTAACGAACACATTATCTGCTCCTTAAAATATATAAGGCAAGTTTTCTCACTGGGATTGCATTAGTAGAATACATTAGATGTTGGGGAGATGGGCCCCTTGTCTGAAATAGCTTATTGTGCAGGGAATCCACAGGGCTCTGGTCTAAAGCTGCTGTAAGAAGCTGGAAGGGACCCGGGTGGTATGCAGCCTAGGGTACACAGGGTTAAGAGAGCGGGCAAAGGGCTTGGCCCGGAGCGAGCAGAGAGAGGAAAGAAGGAACTCTGCAGACCCTCTCAGATGCAGAAGGAGGCTCATGAAGGGAAGGAAAGGAAAGACAAGAACAGGAGATATCCTGACCTGCACAGGCCCCTTCCCAAGGAGGCCAGCGCTCAGTGGGCCAACGAGGAGAGGAGAGAAGCTGGGGGTACAGGCCAGGCCCAGTGCTGGGACCTGGAGGGGCATGGCAGACCAGGGCTGAAGACGTTATGATGTAACAGCACAACACGGTGAGTAGAGGGAAGCAACAGGTCTCAGGGCACTGTGATTCCAGAGGGGCCAGCCAGCCAGCAGCTGGAATGATAGGGGGCAAGGTTTGATTCTTGCTAGAAGGAGCTAGAAGAGCCAGGCACGGTGGTAGGGTCCTAGAAAGGCAGATGGGAACTCAGGGCGAGCTCCAGTCTATGTGGGGGACTGGTGGGCAATTGGGAAACTGAGGCAGGCATGCAGTCACACAGAGAAGCTTGTCTGGGGAGAGTCGGTATGGAGAATAAGGGGAACAGGAATTAGAAGAGTTAGAACCAGCCACTCCTCCCTTCAGATATCACATTAAGAGTGCAGAATCACCCCAGATTCTGCTGCTGATGTGACTGGTCCCTTCACATGCAGCCTGGATGAGTCAGGGGGCTGAGCCTGGGTGTTGGAGGTTGTGTCTTCAGCTAAGCAGGCTGGGAGCCAGCAGAGGCAGCAGGGGGACAGTGAATATCTCACCCACTTACCACCATCCCCCATTTACTGAAATCTACATGGCAGGTGCTCTTCTGGGGATTGCAGAAATTAAGATTTTAAAGATTCATTCAGTGGCCTCATGGCACTTGAGTAGCAGATTTCTGACACTGAGTTAAATTGACAGCACACGGTCAGCTCGTGGACAGGTATTGATTAGTGATGGGGAGAGTTAGGCAGTGGCCATGAGCGGGGTATGTGTGACCGCAGGGACACTTAAGCCTGCCATCTGCGTGGGTGGTCAGTGTGAGCTGTCAAAGACTTGGCCGATGGTTGCTTTCTAAAATAGGCTCTATGTTAGACCCCTCCCCTGCTCACCTGTGAATGAGTTCCATGAAGTGACATGAGCTGTTTCTCTACAGAGGGAATATCAGATGACCTTTGTCCAGATTCAGGTCCTGGCCAGGCTGCAGCTCACCAAAGAACAAAGTATTCCTTGGTCTGGAGGAGGCCAAGGATTCCCTGAGGGCAGAGTCATGTTGGGGATAGCAGGGTGGTGATGACTGTTAACCCCCAGTCTCTGCCCTACTTTCCACAACCATGTGCTCCTGTACCGAGCTCCCCTGAGAGCTTCCCTGAGCCCACACTGCCCGCTCCCCGAACTGGGAGCCCCTCCTGAGCCCTGACTCTGCTCTGAGTTAGCTCCTCCCCACACTGGACCACAAGAGGACAGCCAGCCAACACCCACGTGCATTTTTCACTTACTAGCTGGTGTCTCTCTTCCTCCCTCTCAAATTTAAGCCCCATGAGAGCAGTCATTGGCACTGGCTCCCTCATTTCTGTGTCATTAGGACTTAGAACAGCGCCAGCAACATAGATGCTTAATATTTTTCTCACTTGTGTGTGAATGAATGAATGAATGAATGAATATTTTAGGATCATGTCTGCCTTGGGTTCTTAAGGACTTAAGCTACCAAGAGTTAATGTTAGAGCACACCTAACATTTTGTCTTTCTCTCCGAATATCTGAGGTGTGTCTTTCTGGAGCTGTGCCTGGGAGTTGGCTGTGTGTTGAGGAGTGTGTTCATATTCTTAGAGGGGCCTAAGTGTCTCTGTGCATCTGATTCTTTGTGTGTCTGCTGGACAAAACTTGAATTTATACCCTTTCTGCCTTCCACCCTCTCAGATCTCAGCTGCTCCCCTCCCATCCCTATGGGGCCCCTATGTTTGCCACTCATACAGCCTGAAGGATCTGGCTGATGTTCCCAGTACTCACTGTACCCAGAAAACAAGCTCTCCCCAGTGGTGACAACCATCTTCTAATTGGCTAAGATGATTCACCGCCATCAGGTCAGTACCGTGACAAGATGGCAATGAAATGATCTTTGCCCAGATGGGACTTTTCTGGAAGCACTTATCTCTGGATTCATGAGCTCCTGGAGGGAATGAGCAAAGGCAAAGAGAAACCAGAGTTCTGTCCCTCAGTTGACAGGGTCTTGCAAACTCTTGGGACAGACTTAGTCATGCATTGCACTCTCATGGGCTGGAATGGCCTAACCCTTAGCTTAGTCTGGGTGCAGGAATTAGTCACCCACACAAAGCCCTCTGAACCATTGGTGGTTTAGAACCAGCCCTCTGCAGCCATAGGGGTTAATTCTCTCCAAGGTTTCTCCTGAAAACTGCCTTCTCAATAGCTCCTGTAGGGACCCCCCCCCACCTGCCGCCCCAGAGCTGGGTGTTCCACAATGAGGCGTTCAGAACAGTGAATTCAGAGTCAGCTAGAACAAGGGCAGAAACCTACTCTTACTACATATTAGTTGTGTGATTCTGGGCAAATCACCTCTCTCTGAGCCTTATTATCTCATCTGTGAGAGGGAGGTATTAATAATAAAGACAGTTAATCTCTGTTGAAGGTTTACTAGGCAGTAAGTACTGTTCTAAGAATTGTATGTGTACTGTATTAGTTTCCTATTGTTGTCTGACAAATTACCTTTTGAACACGGCAGAGCCTGGGTGCATGGCTATGTCTACCAGACCGTCCAAGCACTTTACAAAGCGTTCCTTCAATATTGCTGTGGGGAACATAAGGGACCACAGGGGTGTCTGAGGACATTTTAATTCTTCCAGGCTCAGCTTCAAGGTTATTGCCTCTGACAGACTCAGAGACACAACTGCTAAGAATATGGAAGTACTTCTCCCAACACCTAAATCAGGGACACAATTACAAACCCTGGATGGTATATCCACATTGTTCACCAGACATTCACGCCCTTTGTCTTGACCTCCAAGGTCACTTCCCATCTCACAATCCTTGAACTTGGTCATGGAACTTGCTGCCCAAGAGAATAAGGGCAGCAGTAACAGTGCACAAGCCAAAGCTGAAGACTGTACCCAAGGTGATGTCCTGGCCCCAGGAGGATGGGCACCAAACCCATGATATACACCAAAGCCCAGTCCAGATCAGGGTACCCCAGCCATCCTGGAGATGTGGCACTGTAACAGGGTGGTCCCCAGGAAAGGGGGAGGTTCCCTGCCCCACCCAAGGGAGGGTGGAGCTGAGCAGAAAGAGGAGAAGCTGCAGAAGAGACTGAGGAAGGAAGGAAGCAGGATGGAGCCAGGAGACCTGGAGGAGGCGCATGGAGCCTAGAGACTCGTGAAGAAACTGCGCTTGTCTTTGGGTTGTGGACTGGGTGACACAGATGTGGGTGAGACCCATGGGGAGGTGACAATGGCAGCTTTTATCTTGATGTTGATTTTGCTCTTTTCCTTCCGGGCTTGTCTGGTTGTTTCTGACCCTTTTCTGTGGGTCCCCACTGGAAGATGCTTTAGACTTGTAGCAGGCTTTGGGGCCTTGTTCTGGGCCAATCCCATTTGGATGGACTTTTACCCACGAGGGGACGGGTAACTCTGGATGCTTCATTTAAAAACTAGACTAGAAACTAGAAACTAGACTCTTTGCCTTACCTGTATTGTTTCCTAGTTTTATTAAAGTTCCTTCCCATTAAAGTCACCTATGTTTTGTGTTGATGCGGCGGATGGCAGAACCCATGTAGAATAGGCAGGTTTGCGGGGTTTGGGCTGCCCCTCTCCCTGCCCCTATAACAGCACTAAGGTCACAAATGCTATTGTTATTTTCCACTGAGATTTTTGTTGTTATGGTGGGAGGGAATTGTTTTGGGGCATGATTATGGTAATAGGTAAGTGAGGCACTCTCCAAGATGATCATCAGAGATAAATTGGTGCTGCTAGGTGGTAGAGGGAGACAACCCAGAAAAAAGACTACCGTGAGTCCTAAGTGGTGGGCAGAACAGAGAGGCTATGGGCCGGAAAAGTGGATGGTGCCCAGTCTCAGCAGTGGGCTTGTCAGTGGGACCAGGCCAGGCGCATGCCCAGAGGCGCACATACCTTCCCATACTTGCACAAGGCCTGGGTGCAGACTTCCCCTTAAGCGAGGCCATTTCTCCCTTATTTCCCCCAAAAGAATTAATCTTTTGTATTGTTATTATGATGTTAGGTTTATCTTGAGTGAAAAGTGGATGTGAATTTTATCTGTAGCTTAAGGCATAATTGTGGGATGAAAAATTCAAACACCCAAGGAAAACCTGGCTATCAGCCCTGCAGGGCTGGGAGGGGACCCCGCCAGGTGCTGCATTTGCGTTGCTTCCCAAGTCCCGCCTCCGGGTTGCTTATCATCTCGGCCATTCGAATGGAGTTATCTGCCCAATTTAGGAAATCATTACAAATTGGCTAAGCGGGAATTTTTTGTCATGGAGCTCTGTTGGCAGCGCACTCACCCACAGGGCTGAGAGTTTCAGGCCAAACGCCAGAGCTGCGTTTCCTCATGTATGCAGCAGAAGAGAAGCTCCACAGAGGATTGACTTGAAAAAAAAATGTTCACTAGTCAAGTAAATGTGGGGTTCAAGAAAGTCTGTCATTCCCCCAGCACGGCTGTTCTGGATCTTTACAGGCATTGTGAACCTCCAGGAGAAGACCAGAAGCTGCTTGTTAAAATAGTTGGTATAAGAATTCTCCCTCCCCTGGAGTGGAGGTATGAGGGGGTGGGGAGAGCTCTGGGATGGTGGTGGTGGACTGTGGTGCTTGGGTTGGGGGAGGCCTGTGGTGGTACTATACAGTTAGAATACCAGTTCAGGCCTCCCTGCTGGCGCAAAGGGTTACGCTTCAACACTATGAAGCTATCCACAGTCTCTGCAGCACGAGTTCGATTCCTGGCCAGGGAGATGCCCACATGGCACAGCAGACCTCTCCTGACTCGCCGGCTGCTCCCCTCAGCAGTGTATTTCAGTCATTCTGCCTGTTCTGCTCCCCACCCTGTCTCTGGTGAATCCTCTCACCCCCCCAAACACACCCCCACCTCTGGCCTGTACCCCAGTTCTGGTATGCATCAATAAATAAATCTTTAAAATACTAACAAGGATGCAAAGTAATGTACTTCAATAGTAATAAATTAATTTTTAAAAAAGGATTCTCCATTTCCCCGTACTTTTCTTCAAGCACATGGTAGGTCTGATGTTTCCTGGAACACGTGGTTTTTTTTTTGGTTATTCAAAAACGTTCATTAAGTCCATCTTGGACACCCCTCCATTACCAGAAAGTTCTCACTGTGAATGACCATCCACATGCTGCTCACTGCTCATCCCAGTCACTCCAGTCCTGGCCCTCCCGCCCTGGCTGACTGTCAGGCATCGGAAAGCAGTCCAGTCAGGTTGCCTCGATCTTAATTTCTAGTCCACAGCTCACACCAGTCTAAGCCCAGCTTAATTTCATGCTACAGCTCATTAGCAGAGTCAATGAAGGAAATGGGGAAAAAACACATTCATTTGACACTACTATGCACTGAGTTGTTTAATCTTGAACAAATTACTTAATTCTCTGAGGCCTCAGCTTGGACAAGACAACGCATGCATGGGCCTACCTAGCCCAGAGGCTGGCGCATGGGGGCTGCCCTGAGCAGTGACTGCTGCTCCTCTCAGGCCCTGGCCCCCAGCCCCTGCCCCTCCAGAGTGGTTTCCACTAAGTGCTCCCTCTTCTAGGGGTTACGTGCTTGCTAATTCAGTTTGCATTAACATTTACTGACACCAACTACATTTCAGGCCCCGAGCAGGGTTCTGGGAACACAGTGGTGAATAAGATAGAATAATTATCTTCCAAACTCTCACAGCCAGGAAGTAACGGCAAGGAAACCTGTTTCGAGTTGTTGGGAAAAGCAGGCCCAGGATCATCATTGTTTCTGTGTTGAAGGCACAGGGGGAGCGTGACTCCTTGGTTGGAGAGCACAGAGGCCTGTGCATACACTTCCCTCCCACTCCTTTGCTTCCTTGTCCCTCTGCAGCCAGTGTTTTTGTCTGGAAGTGATGGGCCTCAAACATCCTCCGTTTCCAACACACTGCGTGCGGTGGCCCTGGAGGCTGAGCGGCCTGGCTGGGTAGGGAATCAGAACCTGTGTTTCCAGCCATTTTGAGACAGGGATGTGGAAGTAGAAACCAAGGACTTCACGTGAAGATTCCCTCCTCCAGTCACTGGGTGAAAAAGATATAATTTTGGAAGTATGATATCTCGTTTGAGAGCAAGCTGGGTCAAAACTTTGTCCCCTGCTTTCTCCTTAAATATAAATGAACAGCATTTGTTTTTTCCTGGATCATACTTCTTTGACTCTCCAGGGTTGCCTCCTTAAACGATAATCAACATATTTTATAAAGGCATGTTCTTCCCTTGACCTGGCCCAGAAGACCAAAGCCAACATGGTCGTGCACATTCAGCAGATTACTTTTCAGAGGACACAGAGAGTCTGTTCCCAATCGCTCATCTCCCGCAGGAAATTCAAATCGCAACAGAAGCAGAGTTCAATGTCCAATATCTGGAAGAGCTTTGCCAATGTCGAGGGTGTGAAATACATTAATGTGCACCCAGCGGAGATCATTCATTCATCCAGTAAATGTTTATTGAGTATCTACTGTGTGCCTGGCACGGGCCTGCGCCCCGGGGCTGCAGGGACGCCCAAGAGAAGGGGCTCTTCCTCAGTGCTCACCGTGTGCCCGGCTTCCATTTCTTCCTTTCACCTTCACAACAGCCCGGTGAGACAGAGACTGTTACACTTTTTGTGCAAAGAGAAACTGAGGCATAAAGATATAAACTCACTCACCCAAGGCACACATCAAGACACCTTGATGTGGAGCTGAGGTTGGGACCGGGCAGTCCAGCTCCAAAGCCAGTGTATCAACCCCACACCATCCACCCCGCCCCAGGCTCTCCCATCTTCCTGTGGCAACTGAGACAGGTTTTGTCCCAAGTTGCTCACGGAGTGAGCAGTGATTACGGAGTGGGGTGAGCTTCCATGGGAGGTGCAGGACACCCACATGTCTGCTCCTTTCCTTCGAGGCAGTCAGGGATAAAGATTTCATGTCCACATGTCCCCTGAGGACCTAGTGAAAATGTAGATTCTGATTCAGTAGCCCTGGCGTGAAGCCTGAGAATCTGCATTTTCCATAAAGACTATTTTTAACCATAGTGATGTGAGGCTCCAGGACAAGGGCAGCTTTTTTTTTTTTTTTGACCACTAGCACTTCATACAATATTGCATGTGTGTTTGTATGCACACACACATGCGTGCATACTTACACACATCCTGTTTTATATATAAAACATTGTAATAGCTGGCCTCTCCTCTCCTGATGCCCAGCTTAGGTAACAATATCTTTAGCCAAGATGCCACGGCTGCCGTCCAATGTACCACACCTCCCACTTACTGACATGCCGTTAGATGAGTACTTGCTGAGCACAGGTAAAGCTTGCTGTAAGCCAGCTGCTCTCCCAAATGCATCACAGACATTGAGCCCTCACAAGGACCCAAAGAGGGAGATAAAGATTTTATTAAAGATTAAAATTAAAGATTTTATTTATCCGAGAGCCAGGGTACAGGCCAGATGCGCAGGAGGGTGAGAGGATTCACCAGAGACAGAGTGGGGAGCAGAACAGGCAGACTGACTGAAATACACTGCTGAGGGAAGCAGTGGGCAAGACAGGAGAGGTCTGCTCGCCGTGTGGGTTGCTCCGAGGCCGGCAGGGATCGAACCGGTACTGCAGAGGCTGCAGAGAGCTTCACAGCGCTGTGCTCAACCACCTGCGCCACCAGGGAGGCCCCAATCTCCCAATTTCTTAATAAAGCAGCTGAGGGTAAAAGAGTTGATTAGGACAGAGGCTCTCAGCCAGTGAGGGGGAAAGCCAAGATACAGACCAAGGTGGACCTGACCCCAAATTCATTCTTTTAGCTGCCCTACAGCAAAGCAGAAGTTTGAATTTTTGCTCTGATCCCAAGCATCCTTCCTGGTCTGTCACCAGGGTTAGCCATCCATTTATTACCACAAAACAAATAGCATTAAAGGATTTAGCCCAGAATCTGTGCCCCAAGCTCCCAAAGAGGGCTTGTGTCCTCTTTACCCTTCAGCTTTCCCATTTCAAATACTTGAATGGCATTCTTTTTTTTTTTTTCTCTCTCTGATCAGAATGTGCCCGTTTTCCTCATCCATTCTAGAGGAAAAACAGGAAATCATTCTACAAATATCACTCTGCTTCAGACAGTAAGGGAAACTGAGTCCTCTCTGAGACCATGATGGCCTGAGACTCGGGCACCCGAGTCCCTGAATCTGTGTCTCCAGGAAAGGAAGGCTGTGCCTGCTCCCCAGACCCCTGGGAGCCCTTGTCCTTGTTGGCCTCTTGGTGTGGAACAACTTTCCTGTAGCCCTGCCTCCCCCTCCACACCTCTCCCACCCCCACTTCTCACCTCAGCCTACTTGACTCGCTGCTGCAGAGCCCACCCCTCCAACTCTCTCTCTGGCCTCTTGCCATCAGAGCTCCTGTCAGACCACTGATTGCTAATAAAAGTGGTGCAATTGTTGATTGGGAATAAGAAATAAAAATAAAACACTCAAGCTGACCAGCCACCGTGTCAGGCCATGTTTCAAGACTGTCATCTTGAAGTCAAGGGAACAGGAAAAATTGCTGTCAGCTCCCACCAGCTCCCACACCACCCCACCCAGCCCCCCAAACTGGCATCTATCACCTCCTTTCAAAAGCATTCTTCCTTCCCGTGCCAGCCTCCTATGCTCATGCAGACACCCAGACCCCTGCCCCTGGCACTCACCACCATAGTGAAGTGTGTGTGTGTGTGTTTGTGTGTGTGCGCGCACATGTGTGTCCACAGTGAGATGCTGTAGGGCCTAGGGTAGGCCGGGCAGTCTGTGCCACAGGTGTTGGGGGTGCAGAGATGGGAGAGGGGAGGACATATTCAAGGCACAGTGACATCCAATATGGCTCGAGCATCAGGTGTGTCCAGGAGCTCAGGGCACAAGTCTGCTCACCTCCACGTAGGCGTCCTCCACCCGGGAGCTCAGGGACTGTGTGACAGGAACAAGGCTCCATCTAGGGCCTCAGGCAAGGCCCTGTCCCTGTTCTCTCAGGGCCTGTGGGACTTGGAAAGTCCCTAGAAACTTTGTCAAGGAGACTCCAAGCTGCACATTTACATGGTGATGGCAGGAGCTATGCTACATGTGGCGGGATTCATGTCTCCAGAGGAAATGATCTGTGAATCCAGTCAAAGTTTAGGGGCTCTGGGGCCCTGAGAGAAGAGTGGCCACCTCCTGTGAACTCCCCCCACCACAGGAGTGGAGATGAGACACATCAATATGCACTGTGTCAGCCCTGCCAGGGCTCTTCGGGAGAGACAATAGCTGCACTCATGAGTGAGAGAACCAGAGGGCTGGGTACCCAGGAGGGACAGAGACAGAGACAGAGAGGCCCCTAAATCACTCCTTCCTGTTTGGTTTGCAAGACCATGTTAATTCCTCGTGGGTTTTTTGCCTCCCATTCAGGTGAAATTGGTGTCATCAATGCTTTCCAGATCTCTCCTCTAGAAACTGCATCACATATCTGGGGCTATACAAGAGTCACTGCTGTTACAAAATGAGATTTTGAGCAAAATCCTGGGATTTTCTCTGATTGAACCAATTTGGGTGACATGCCTGTTCCTGAATAAATAATTGTGTCTGGGAGAATGTGATATGCAGGTGTGAATGGGATCCAACCATTAGTTTTTGCCAACCAGGAATCCATTCCTGAGCCAGGAGTCAATTTAAGCCCCCCTAAACGGACAAATGGGAGATGTGGACACCTCTTAAGAAGGATAGCAGAAATAGATGCCATCGGCAAGGCCCCACAGCTGCCAGACAGAGGTCTACACTCCAACCAACACATCATTTTGGAGAAAGACATACCCGCAGTCCCACAATGAATGGATGGCGAAGCAGAGAAAGAGCATGTTTCAGCTCAAGACAGGTTCTTGATCTCTGTTCCAGCTCCCTTCTCCCATCAGACTGTGTCCCATTTTCCCATCACACCACCCTCCCTCTCCACGACAGAAACTAACATTATGCCCGGCACAAGCAGCCATCCCCTGCCCTTCTTTGTTTTTTTTCAATTTTCATTTTTTTTTTATTTATACAAGAACTGGGGTACAGGCCAGAGGCGCAGGAGGGTGAGAGGATTCACCAGAGACAAAGTGGGGAGCAGAACAGGCAGACAGACCAAAAGCATTGCTGAGGGGAGCTGTGGGTGTGACAGGAGAGGTCTGCTGCATCATGTGGGTATCTCCCTGACCGGCCGGGAATCAAATCCATGCTGCAGAGGCTGCAGACAGCTTCACAGCGCTGCGCTCAACCTGCTGCGCCACCGGGGAGGCCCTCCCTACCCTTCTTGAGTACCTGTATGGCTGGAGGCAGGGAGAGCTCATGACTTATGAAAGACCCTTCTAGGAAATGCATTTCCAAGAATTCAGCATGCACATCTGACCGCCGTCTGTCCATTCTCCTCAGCAAGGTTCTGTTCCCAACCACCATTAATTGCTTTGGGCAGGAGGAAAACTGCTGAAGTATCACTTAGCTTCTGAGAGCAGCTGCTGCAGCAACAACAGCAAACAAAAACTGGTTCTTCCCGCGCTGGCTAATGATTTCCATTGGGCATCCTGTTACTGGGGGCACAGGGCTCCCTTATGAGCAGGCCACTGGAGGCAGCTTTGTTATCATGCTTTCAGACATGTGGCAAACGCAGCTTTAAAAACCTCTGCATCTGCCTTGCGTCTCTGCCGCATGCACAAGTGCACACACCACCACAATGTCCTGCATGTTTCCTTTCAAGATAATCCTTCCAGGCTGGTAGGTAACCCGCCCCTGATTGCCACCACCAGTCCTAGGTGGTCCTCAGTTGTGCAGGTCCCTGCCAAGCCAGCTGTAAGAGGCACCACTCCACATCCTTCTGCCTCATTCTCTGATTCCAGCCCCTATTCCTGCAAGCAGGCAGACACAGGCTTCAGCCAGCTTTATGCAGGTGCAAAATGACAATGCTGCACCAGGCACCGCTCCCCGGCCTCCCTTGAGCTTCTTCTCCACGACCCGTTGGTATGGGGCACCGTGGGGAACCTGCTCAGCAGCCCACACGTGTACCACCTGGAGATGCTGGGGAGTTCATACTCCTCGAGGCAAGCCTTCGACCAACAGATGACAGAAATCAATATGAAAATGTACAGAATTAAGGGACAGCACTGTTTGTGGGCTCTTCACCCATGCATAATTGCAAGACACGACTTAATCTCAGGGTGCAACCACAATGGGTTTTATTAACCGAGAAGAGACTGGGATAAGGAAAGAGCTCCACTCGGGAGAGAGCTCATGGGACCCAGCAGTCCCAGCCAAAGCCTGCTCCTGTGACATAGTGTTTCTCGGATGAGACGGGCGCTGCTGGCACCCTGGTGGGGGTGCACCAGAAACAGCTAACTGTGGGCAGTTGGACAGTCACAGGTGGCACTGCTGAGGCCCCACCATGCAGTGTCTCTCCAGAAGCTGAAGTCAAGTCTCCTCCTGAAGCTTCTTCCAGGTTAAGTCAAAGCTTCTCAACCGACTCAAGCCTTCCCAGGCAATCTCTCTCCAACGGCCGAAGCCCTCCCAAACCAAGCCAGGCCTCTCCTCTCCAGCTGGCTCCAAGCAGCTCCTCTCCCACCACCTTCTGTTCCAGGCAGCTTTCCTCCCAGGCTGCTCCTAGGTGGCTGCTCATATCCCCCCTCAGGGTACCTGCCTTTCAAATCTGATTGGTCCATTTTCCAAACCAGCTGTTTGGAAACTCAGTCGGTGCCAGCGCAAGTTTGAACCTAGCTGGTGCCAGTGGGAGCTCAGACCTGGTCATTTTCAAAACCAATTCAGGACTGGAAGCCAGAAGCCCGGGCAGTGGGTCTACCCACCTCACACCGCCTCGCACAGAGACGGCAGGCGAGCTCTGCGGTATCTGAATGGTGCTGGCCAAGTCCCAACCTGACCCTGTGTCTTCAAAACTGCCCCGGTTTTCTCTCTTTTTTTCCTAAAACCCAAACATAGCTGTGCCTGGGTTGGCCATCAAACCTGGCTACCAAGGCATAGTCCAGGTTGATGACGCTCAGCTGTGGGCTGCTGTCCCAGGCAGACACCCCCTCCATCCTAGGTGCACCGTCCAGACACTCCAGAGGACCTCTCAGATGGCCTTGTGGGCATTGCTGCTGTGGTCCTGTGGTCAAGACAATTCACCTGGGACTGCGGGCCCCTTGGCCCTGCCACCTGCTCACTCCCTGCCCTCCAACGCTGCTCCTGGCCATATTCCCAGCAGGGAGCCTTGTCTCAGCCTCTACTCTCAGCTTCTACCTTCCCACAGTGGCCTGGGCATAGGACTTTAGTTCTGGATCACTCACCGGTCACATGGCAAGAAGCATCCTCGTGCTAGTGGCAAACAGAGGGGTGAGCACCCCAACATGTGCCAGCATCACAATAACCAAGAATTCTACCAGCCGCTGATGGTGAGGAGAAGCCACTGGAGGGTGGGGTGTGGGTTATGGTGACTATGGCACTTGAACATGTAGAGATAATATTATTAGGTGTGGCCTTCTGTTAACCACATGGAGCACTTTGAAATAAGAGAATAAAAGGTTCAGAATATCCAACTATAGATTCAAGCCATGCCACCAAGTCCAGACAGCCTCTTTGGAAGTTTTGGAAACTTCAATTTCCTGTAGCCACTAGACCTGGGCAGGATCTTATTCAAAAGGCGACAGCAATGTAAAGGAAACTGAATGGACAGTCAGATCTCCTGAGTTTAAGTCCAGGTCCTGGTGGGAAAGGAATGAAAGTTTGAGCTGGGCTGGAACCTTTTTTTTAAAGATTTATTTATTTTTGTACAAGAGCTGGGGTACAGGCCAGAGGCACGGGAGGGTGAGAGGATTCACCAGAGACAGAACGGGGAGCAGAACAGGCAGACAACTGAAATACACTGCTGAGGGGAGCAGCAGGCAAGGCAGGAGAGGTCTGTCACGCCATGTGAGACTCTCCCTGACTGGCCAGGAATCGAACCAGTACTGTGGAGGCTGTGGACAGCTTCGTAGCGCTGCACTCAACCCGCTGCGCCACCGGGGAGGCCCTGGGCTGGAACCTTTGAATGGACAAACCTGAAACTTAAACCACCAGACCCCCCCTGGGTCCTCTAAGTTGACTGAAGTATTTCCCCTTCCCTCCGTATCAGAACAGTCTCTCCAGTCTGCAGAAATAACAACTTCACCTGCAATAACTTTCCCTGAGGCAGGTGCTTGCAAAATAAACCTGTTCTTCTCAAGAGCTGTCCCTGCTTCCTCTCTCTGTCTCCAGACTAATAATGAGGGTCAGACGTCAGCACAGCTTCTGGGAATGTGTCGCCCCTGCTCTTGGGGGAGATATCAGGGTCCAGATTATATGTTTAAGCAGAAATTTAGTGAACAGGTATGGAATTGGCTCTTAAAGGTACGAGGAGATTGGAGGCGATTTGGAATATAAGGGAGAATTTATTGACCTGGGGAAAGGAACCTGTGAATTGGGATTCAATATTCTGGAAGGAAACAGAACCAGCTCCTAGAATGACTACTGCAGCTTGGACATGACCACAACCTTCAGCACAGGAGGCGAAGATTGTGGTTTTGTGTCAGCATCCTATCAAGGAAAGGGCCAGAGGCTCAGGGAGTTGGGAGCATTAGAAGAATATACCAAATAAGACCTACCATGGAGGGCACTCTTTCCAGTAAAGTAGAAAGATACTTTACTTTATGCAAGGGTAGCAGCAGCATCTCAGGGATACCATGGTTTTCCTCTTCAAGCCTGGGAGGACAATGAGAGATAATTTGTGGAATTTGGGTCCCTATGATCAAGGTTGATGAGAGCCCAGCACATCAGAGACGGTGCAGGCTGAGTGCAATTAGGTTAGGATGGCAGTTAGTGTGCTTTGACCCACAGACATTGCCTAACACATCAAGGTGTCTTTAGGGTAAGATGGATGGACAAGTGACGTATATTTCATTTGTACCATGTTTTAAAAATCAAGAGCTTGTGGGCCTCTCCGGTGGCGCAGTGGGTTGAGCGCAGCAGCTGTGAAGCTGTCCACGGCCTCTGCAGTGCGGGTTTGATCCCAGCTGGCTGGCGAGAATCCCACGTGGTGCAGCAGACCTCTCCTGTCTCGCCTCCTGCTCCCTTCAGCAGTGTATTTCTGTCAACTGCCTGTTCTGCTCCCCGCTCTGTCTCTGGTGAATCCTCTCACCCTCCCATGCCTCTGGCCTGTACCCCAGCTCTTGTATAAAAATAAATAAATCTTTAAAAAATAATAAAATAAAATAAAAATCAAGAGCTTGTGAGCGGAAGGCTGATATCAGCCACTGTCACAAGCATATTTACTTAATTATTTGCAAATTATATACCTGTGATGTGCTGATGTATGGTGGAAATAGTGCACGACAAGCAGAAAATTTTCAAGGATAAAATCTGTAAAGTTGAAAATTATAAAATATATTTTCCATATGACAATGTTGTGACACTGAAAATAATGAGAGCAATGGCAACAGTTCATTGCAAAAGTTCCTTTGCCTTTTAATATCTTAGTAGAGCACTTTTTAATAGAACCACTTTTAGGTCAAGTTGAAACTGGGCTTATTTTGCACATGGTTTTAGTGACTGATGGGCTGACAGGCATCCCAGAGTCGGAGGGCAGAATGGAAAGAGCTCGGTGCTGGCTGCCCTTTCTACAGATGAGGTGCTATCCAGGCCCATCTACCAGTCTTGGGGGTGGCAGGGGTGTGAGGGGGTGGTGGGCATTCACTGGTAGGTTCCCATATTTCCCAAGTCAACCAGTTGCTTTAGCAAACAAATCAGAAGGGGTAGCGTTTTTGTATTTTGAACAAATGTGTTTAAAATCCTCTAGGATTCTTTCTTGGAAGAATTTTTTTGAACCCTTTAGAAAATTCTGTTTCCAAATTTTTCGAGAGCGCAGATATGAAAGTTTTTTTTAAGTGATGCACTGACAATATTTTAGGCAGTAAGAGCATCTAATGGTGGAAACACTTCAAACGTCCATTTTTAATGCTCTCTTTTCATATAAACCCCTTTCAAAAAAACAATTCCTTTTTCACTCATTGTTAAAAATGTCACCTTTACCTTGAAAGGGCAGATTACAGATGCTTACTTTTGAAAATATCTAATAGCAACAGCTACCTGTCATCACTGGAAAGGTCAGCAAATTTGGAAAACTTGTCCTTTTGTAAAAGAAAATTATATCTCTTGTTGTTAAATTCAACAAGCTAGCCAAAGACCCCCTGGGCGGCTCAAGATCACACTCCTTCTCACCACAAAATATTGAAAGATTCTACCACTTAAAATATTATACTGTCAGCCCTTGTGAACTGCTATATTGCTCCTCAAGCTGAAGGGGGAGGGGGGTCCCTTTGCAGCCTTAGGCATGGGGGAGCTCTCACTCCCTCCTCAGAAGCCTCTTGTAGCCTAGGAACACTCAGCTGTCTAATGAATAGACAAGTAATGGTAATGATGTCACCCCACTTCTAGTAAAGCTTCATTTCTTTGTCATTTTCAAAATGAGACTAAATGAAAGGTTCTGTTATATTCTTCCCATCCCCCAGTGGCCAGTTGATGCTCTGCAGGCTCTTGGCCTATAGGGATTGAGTCCTAATATGAACTGACCTTTCTCATTCCCCCCTTTTTCTCCCCATTCAATGCACCATCCATGAAATAATACATGGATTAATTCATTTAATCTCTACCCCCATTCTACAGAACAAATTCTACTGTCATTCCTTTACACAGCTGGGGAAACTGAGGTGCCAAGGTTAAGGAACTAATCCAAGGTTTCAAAGTACGTGAGTGGTTGAGGCAGGATCCGCCTAACTTCAGAGTCTACACTCCTAAGCTCTATGGTTGTGCTGTAGTGGCTTCAGTGCACAGGTGTGCAAAGTCCTACACACCTGCCATGATCTTAATTCTTCTGGAGCTTTGCACATTACTCTTCCTTTCAGACCAATCCTTCAAGTTTACTGCTAATGGCAGAAGCTCCAACAGCCTTCTCTGATCCAGCAGAGGACAGAGTTTCCCTTATTCACAGTTTGGCACGTCCTCTGGGAACTTTTCCAGCACATCAAGAAGAGTACTTACACCAGGCCGGGCCCACCAGATTCCTTCTTCTGGGATTTGGAATCTTGAGCAACACAGGAACTGGACAGAAAGGATCTGGGGAAGGGGATGTCACTGCAAGAAAATCCATAAATTGCCACTCTGGAGAGGCGCTCTTGTACTCCCTTTGCTGAACCCACAGAGCCATTCTGTCTTGTCAGCTTAGTGATCAAGATCTTCCTGGACTTCCAAAAGATACCCCAGGGTCTTCCCCACCCAGAATCCATTTCCATTTCCTTCGATGAATAAAGCCAACTCAACCAATGTGCTGGGCACATTATTCACTACCATTTCCCCTTCCCTCCATCAGTGAGTGCACTTAATCAGCTTGTTCAGTGGCCTTGTTTGCTGCAGCTCCTATGGCCCCGGGCAGGCTGTGGATGTCTGCCATAGACTGGCTGCTTCTGCACCTCTGGACCTCTGTGCCCAGCAATGCATGTGACCCAAAGCCAGGTCAGCCAACACCTGTGAGTTTACATGCGGATGGATGTGTTTCCACAGGATGAGAGAGACACATTGGGTGCCAGGCCTGGTTGTGATCCACTCTCTGTCTGCCTTGAAAATACTATCTTGCAAAGAAAATCTAGGTTGGAATCATTAAAAGCATTAAAAAATGACCTTTACCTGCTGAAAGCATAATCCATTAATAATGTACCTTGTACTAGAGAGATAATGGGAGTCTCCCACCGGGGGATTAAAGAATGATGGGAATTTAGGGTCAATACTCTGTCTCCAAAATTGCTTTATCCCCCGAGGTGCAAACAGCAGGGAACACAGCAGCCCTCCCAAGGCTGAGGCTGGGAGAATCACTCCTGTCGGAGGGAAGGACTTAAATCAGGGAGGAGGCCCCATCCAGGTCCTTCCGCACCTTCCTTAGGACAGTCCTACAGAGACTGACCAGGAGTCAAGCATTATCTGCTCTCTGACCTGCGACGGTGCTGACGAAACGAAGGTCACGGGTGGGAGTGGAGTGGGCTCTAGACTTTGGGGCTGTCCCTATGCCGGACATGGTTGGTACAGAAGCCTCAGACACAACCAAGTCCCCAACTCTTCAAGGACTGATGGAGGACTGTCACTCCTGATTCATGGAGTCACCGAGTCCCCACGCTGGAAGGACCTTAAAGGTCATCTTATGCTTGAGCACCTTTTGTGACAAGAGATTTACTGCCTTTTGAGGCAGGCCACTCCATCTTGGAGAGTTCTGACAGTTGGAACAGTCTTCCTTACTCTTCTTTTCATCAGAAACTACCCCCCCCC